CTCACTTGGAAAAGCAGAATGTGACTCATGTTCTGTAGTAAGGAATTTTGGAGGACTCCTTTCCAGTGTGCTGGAACAACAAGGAAGCTGTTTTCATAATCTCACTGATTCATTGTTTGAATCACTAATTCTTGCCACTTCTTACTGAAAGAGCTCCTGACTCTCATGTCCATCAGCTCCTGGTCACACAGCTCCCAGAACCTGAGTTAGAGCTTAGAGGATTTTGTTGTTCCCCCAAGATACCTCAGCAACATAATTTCCAGTTATTTTTTGCATTTTAAGCCAAATGTTCCARTCCTGCTGATATCCTGCTGCTTCTTTCTCTTCAGCTTCTCTGATAACTATTCTTTCTTTCTCTACATCACTGTTCTATGGTTACAAYAAGGATAACAAAGGATTAAAATCCAGCCTTTCCAGATGGGTAAGGAATTGCACTAAGTCAGACAGTGCTGCACATTTGTGAGAGGGTTTTGTTTCAGTCATCAAAWGCTCTAGAGAGAGAATAAGTTAACAACTTCCTGGCAAAGAAACAGCTTGGAGAACAYTTTCCCTCGAAAGTCAAAGATTGCCTGGCACAGGAACACATTTAGGTGAAGGATGGGATCAGTTTGGAAGTGAAACATTACATACCCCTTCCAGCTCCTCACAGTTATTCCCTGTCCACCACTTCTCCAGGATCTGAAGGCAGTGTAAGAGCCAACCACGTCCTCAGCTCTGCAGCAMTCGAGCCCAAAGCGACTCCTCTTGCAAACCTGCTGCCCCTACAGAGCAAGATAACACCGTTCATGTGACACTGAAGTGACACAGCCCCTCACTTGGAGGTTAATGACTTTCCTGAAGATGACAGAAAATAGAAAAAGTAACTGCTCAATTTTTTTTTCGAGTCCTTCAGCACTCCTGGGAAGCATTCAATTAAAATAAATTAGGCCACATCTGAAAGATGTTCCAAACCTCCACAGATTTAGCCATAATGGGTTATTTTGATATGAGTGCATTTATTCCCATACTAAAAATGTTTTCCTAACTAAAACAGTTTAATCCCTCAAAGGAGAAGTAATTCAGTYAAAGACCACAGGTTTCCATTTTGTGGGTTATGCCTCTGTACACCAGACCTATTTTCTATTCCTACCCAAATAAATCATCTTAGAATGTAGAGTTAAAATTCCCATTTTTTCCAAAAAGACTTCGGGATGCCTTTTAGGAAAGACTGTTGTAACATGAGCTTCAGGGATGCCATGCAACTTTTACTAGAGTTTACTAGAAGTTTTATCCCTACCATTAAAGACACACATATTAAACTGGGGTTTTTTGGTATATTTTTTTTCACGGAAAACATGAATTTTGATTCCATCCAGCAGTAGAATCAGGTGCTACAATAATGCAGCAGAGACACTGTGCAATAAATAGATGAAAAGATGAGATCCARGGATAAGAGGATATGTAGAGGAGGCACAGCACAGATGAAAAGGGATGAACACAAGGACCTGACAAAACCCAGAGTGGCTGAAAGCAGCTCCTGAGATAACAAATTCTGCTTTTCACAGAAACAGGCTCTAAGTGGAGCCAATTCAGATTTCACACTTGGCCATCCAGTGAGGACACACTGCCCAGACAAGGCTCACAGAGGCCAATTCTCARTGCTGTGAGAGAGAAAAATATTCTTTTAATAAGCTTGAAATACCCTGAACAACTGCCTGCCTCACTAATAACAACTCCTGGGTCCCTCTGGTCCAAGAAGCACCAAAACCAGCAAAGTTTGATGGTTTTGGTGCTGCCCCACGGYTGTGTTTGAAGCTGGTACAGGGGTACAAAAAGCTCAGTGTTGCAACAGCCTCAAGGTTGTGCCCTTTGTCCTCAGGGAATAGCAAAGTTCACCCAGCTCACACTTGTCCACAAGGAAGAGAAGTTAAAGTTCCAACCTGCAGATAACAACATGTCTCCCATCACCGTAAGTCAGGAATTACAGGTTCTTTTTTTTTTACACCCACAGTTTTTCAAGAAATGAGAAATCTCCAAGCATGCACCAATTACAGATCACCCTAAGGAGAGCTGTTCACGAGATGTAGTCAGAGGCAGTTATGACAYTCAGAAGAAATTCCAAGAAACAATTTGGAAAAAAATCTTTAATGCGGAAAAAGTGCAGTTGCTCCAGTCTACACTTTCCTCACTGCTACCACCCACTTGAAAGCTACTGAGCCTCCTCCTACCCTTCCMCACAGCAATTGCAAACACCACTGGCCTCAGCTGCTCAGCAGGACACGAAACAAAGCTCAAACCAATGAAGAGAGCTCACCTCCCATTGCTCAACTGGAAACTGCCTTTTGAAACCTTCAAATGAAAACAGAGGATGAAGCCATAGTTACAACTGTCATTATCCAATAAGGAATAAAAGAAAGTCTATTCCATGCTGCAGAAATAATGGATTGGAAGAAAGAGGGCTGACATAASGAGGACTGTTCCAAYRGGAAAATTAATGCATTAAGAAGAGCTGATACATGTTACTGTAAGGTGTTATGAAGCATGAGAACACCCAGTCAAACCGACGTGAAATAATCTTCAAAACAGCAGAATTTCCAACAGCAAAACAGCATCAAAATCCACTGCCCAAACACAACACGGGTGCTCCAAGGCATGAAAGAATACGATCACAGTTTCTCCACCTCAACCCACATTGTCACCCCTAACTAAACCAGGATACCCACTTGTTGGTAAGCACAGAGCARAAAAAACAAGGACAGGAGAAAACCCTGAAGAAATGCCTTATGTGTCSTTGAAAGGGGATAACCTGGATTCACAGCACTTTATAGAGAAACAGCTGCTACCAAACACACTTATCTCCCCTTCCCTCAGGTCATCTATGTGACCTGCCAAACATCTGAGAGACAAAACTGGAATAAAACGGGAATMTTGCTGCTTTATTATCTCCTGTAAACACCAGATGACATTGGCTAGAGAAATAAAAACCAGACAAGGTGCTTAACCCCAGTCAGCAGGAATGTTCCCATGGATTTGGGCCTCACACCCACAACCCGCAGGCAGTCCATGGGGAATGCAGGGAGCACCCAGCCGGGAAAACACAGCACATTATTAGTGGAAAAGCAACAAAAACCATCGGTATCTGACCCTCCGCAGAGAGGAGGATGGATTTGTCCCTGTGTCACCAGGCACCGGAGCAGGGCGAGTCTATCCCACCCTTTGGGGCTCTGGAAGAGCAGAGCCGCTCTCCAGCGGGGTGAGAGATGGCAGCGGCTCGTTTCTCGCCCTGAAGGCCGGCGAGGAGCAGCCTCCCCWCCCGCCCTGCTCCTCCACAGCGTTCCCGGCCAACCCCGACTCCCCACACGGGTCCCCCGGTTCGCACAGCACCGCCCGGGTCGGGGGCCCCCCTCACCGCCGTCACTTCAGAGCCGGAGGGGCCGTGAGGGGAGCGGGGCGGCCCCGGGGGCAGCGCTGAAGGGCAGAATGGGCAGCGCTCAGGGGCAGAATGGGCAACGCTGAGGGGCAGAAAGGGCAGCGCTGAGGGGCAGAATGGGCAACGCTGAGAAGAGCGGGGAACAGCGCTGAGGGCAAAATGGGCAGCGCCGAGGGGAGCGATGGGCAGCGCGGAGGGGCGGAAAAGGCAGTGCTGAGGGGAGCGGGGGACAGCGCTGAGGGGAGCGGGGAACAGCGCTGAGGGGAATGATGGGCAGCGCTGAGGGGAGCGGGGAACAGCGCTGAGGGGAATGATGGGCAGCGCTGAGGGGAGCGGGGAACAGCGCTGAGGGGAATGATGGGCAGCGCTGAGGGGAGCGGGGAACAGCGCTGAGGGGAATGATGGGCAGCGCTGAGGGGAGCGGGGAACAGCGCTGAGGGGAATGATGGGCAGCGCTGAGAGGAGCGGGGGACAGCACTGAGGGGCAGAAAGAGCAGCGCTGAGAGGAGCGGGGGACAGCGCTGAGGGGCAGAAAGAGCAGCGCTGAGAGGAGCGGGGAACAGCGCTGAGGGGCAGAACGGGCAGCACCCGGAGATCCCACTGAGGGGGCGCTGACGCGACCCCCGCCCGCCAAGAGAGCCCCGGGCCCGGCCCCGCACTCACCGCGCTCGGCGCCGGCGGCTCCCTGGGCCCGGCACAACGCGGAACTGGGCCCGGCACWGCACGCCCCGTCCCGCCCCCGGTTCGTCACTTCCCGAGCGCCGCGGCTCCGTCACCTCCGGGCGGGCGCGGCGGAGCGGCCGGGCGGGAGCGGCAGGTGAGCGCTGAGGGGGATGTTCGCTCATGGCCCCCTCACGATCCCACCCTGAGGGCCCCGCGGCCCCGCGCGGTTCGGTCCCCGCTCGGGCTTTGCTCTCCGTGTCCCCTCGGGCTCCAGCGGGGCCGGGCCTGGCGGGGCTGAGGCGATGGAGCTGGAGGCGGGCCCGCTCTTCAGCTGAATTTGGGGCATTGATTTAAAACCTTCACCATTGTACCCTTTCTCTCCGCGTTTTTAGGTGTAATTTTGACATGAGGAAAGGCTGAGGGAATTGGGAGTGTTCAACCCGGAGAAGACAAGCTCCGGCGAGATCTAATTGAGGCCTTACAGTGCCTGAAGGAAACGTGGGGTAAGACTTTACAAAGGCCTGGGGTGACAGAACAAGGGGGGATGCGTTCAAACTGACAGAGAGGAGGTTTAGACCGGATATTAGAATAAACTGTTCCCCGTGAGGGTAGTGAGGCCCTGGCACAGGGCGCCCAGAGCAGTTGTGGCTGTCTCTGGATCCCTGGAAAGGTCCAAGGCCAGGCTGGACAGGGCTTGGAGCAACCTGGGACAGTGAAAGGTGACCATGGCAATGGCGGGAGGTGGAACAGAAGAACTTTAAGGTCCTTTCCTACCCAGACGATTCTATGATTATTTGCTATTTTRTCTTAGCTCTGCTTCCTGAGTTGAAACCTATCCCTGGTGAGGTGTTTTGTAGTCAGAAGGCAGTCTGGAGATCTGTTCGCTTGTATTTTTTAACAAATGTTGTTTGTCTWAAAATAACCAAGTGCAACCAGGCAAGAGCACGCCCAGTACTCTCAGAAGATGCAAAATGCTCAAGTAAATTCTTTCCCCCCTTTCAGAGCCACCCTTCARAATCCACCATGATTTCTGTCTTCGAGTCTGAGTTCCTGAACGTCATGATTGGGGTGGTGTGCGGCGTGTGCCTGGGATGGGGCATCCGGGGGAGGCTCCGCAGGAAGCCTGGAGCTGGAATGCCAGAACCTTCCAACAGCCTGGGGAGTGAGGCCGACATCATGGGAGAGTCTGGGGAGCTCAAGCTGGTGCTGATCGTCCGCAACGACCTCAAGATGGGCAAGGGCAAAGTAGCAGCGCAGTGCTCCCATGCTGCTGTCTCTGCCTACAAGCAGCTTCGCAGAAAGAATCCTGAGCTCCTGGAGCAGTGGGAATATTGTGGACAACCTAAAGTGGTCCTCAAAGCTCCCGATGAAGAGACTCTGGAGAAGCTCCTGACTGAGGCAAAGCGCCTGGGGCTGACTGTGAGCTTGATACAGGATGCTGGGCGTACTCAGATAGCTCCAGGCTCCAGGACAGTCCTTGGGATCGGACCAGGGCCAGCTGATGTCATAGATAAAGTTTCTGGTCACCTTAAACTCTTCTAAACTGGTACCAAAAAGACATGGATGCGTTCATGTATGTCAGTACTGAAGGGATAAAAATCCAAGTTGGGGGATTTTTCTTTATTTTCCCTCAGTGTTAATAAAACAAGCAAGTTTTGTTAAGATTTCAATATGTAAATGATGAGTTCCTTTAGTTTGTGTGTTGTTTTCTGAAGGGAGAAAATTCTAGGCTTAGGGCAGTTGAGAAAAGCAGAGCTGGCACAAGAAGAAACCCGGTACAACTTGTGCAGTTGGTTGAGGATTCTGCACACTGGTTGATAAGAGTTTAAGTTTTTTGAAGTGAATGTATTCTTTAATTCAGAAAGGCTCAGCTGCTGAAGCTGTTAAGAACTGGAGCTTGGGGTAGCTGTAGCCAACTTTCTGCTCAAAAAACTTCTGCAACAGCTTGTAACTGGTACCAGGCTGAYCAGTTCAACTGGATTTGCAGCCCAGACCAGTAGAGTCGTGGGGARCAGCTGTAAGCTGAGCTTCCCTCTGGAGCGGTCAGTGCAACTCCTAACGTGCAAAAATGTGCAGTTGAGCCAAGGTGTGGGTGGCACTGTGTACAATATGAACCACTGGGCACTCGGACAGACTTAAATCCTGTTTTCCTTGGTATTAACAGGCTTTACATCAGTCAGCTTTACAGACACAGAGAGAATGGCAGAGGAATAGAAATGCCAATAAACACAGAGAATGGACACATTTTTATACTGCACCTCTTACTTAGAGGCATAATCCTTTTTTTAGATACTCACTGCAGACTTGTGCACCACCACTACTGAGMACAGAGAGCCTGGGGCAGGTGAGCCCCTGCCACCCCCCATTCCATGGAAATGCTGCAGTGCTCAGCCCCAGGATCACAGGACACAACGGTGGAGCTCACAGGAGGAAGAGGGAAGGGGATTTGGCCTCAGAGCTGCAGCCTGATGCCCAGTGTGGCTCCTGGGTTAGGGACAGGGAGGTTCTACAGCTGTTGRAAATCTGGCCAGTGCTGTCAGACTYGTTACACTCAAATATGACAGTATTCATAGAGAAACATTTAAGTCAATTTTATTTGAAGCTAAGTATGTTTAAGGCAATTTACATACCTAGAACATGATCTCAATTTAACTGGCACACCCTACTACAATCCTAATGTATCATCTGGTCAAATATGCTGGAGTTGACCACAGTGCAGCCAACTGGTGAAAAGTGCTATTTTCTTCTCTCTGGCATAATCTCTTTCTAGAAAAAGCATTACATATTTTCCTGTATTGCCCCCTCAGTGCAACACCCCACTACTGGTCCCCATTGCTGCTGTTCTGCTGGCCCCTCAGACCCCTGGCTGCACACACCTGCATTGTCCCCCACTACCAGCACTGGAATACTTGGTTTGAGTCCAAAGGTCCTTTTTTCGAAGACAGTAAAGTGAAGCTACCACTATGCAGCATGTCCACAGTCCAGTAATTTATTTTTAAATTGCGTAATTTCAAATTGCACAAACAAAACTGAACAGCAATATGCTTGAATTCTCTCTTCTGTACACTCAAAACAGTGATCTAAAACACCACAATATCCAACATACACAAACCTCAGGGCAGGGTTAGTAAATACACAGATTGGAATCATGGTGCTCTGTTCCTGAATGGAATGTCCCACAAAAGCACAGGATACAGCACAACGTAAGGTCATCTGTTACATATGGAGTGAGCAAAAAGACACTAGCATTTTCTATATGCATAACTGGAAAAACCTGCATAGGTTAAGGGAAAAAGAAAAAAAAAAAAAAAAAAACTTTTACTCATTTTAAGTCAGGCAAGGTTGTCTGTACGCATTTTAAATTCTTTTAGAGCTATGCAATCCAACCCAGGGAGGATATGCTGATTAGTGTTGTCTCTTGTCAGCAGTCTTGCAAGGTCAAATACAAGTATCTTGGCTTTAGCTTTCTCCAAATATACAGTGAGACTTAAATGCATTTAGAATAGACAGTACATACCGTAAGCTGCTCACATACAATGAACTTAAGATTCAATATTAGAGTGTAACACTATAGAGTGCAAATCAGAATCTTCACAATAGACTTAATGGTAATAAGCAGTCCTGCAAAAGCCCACTTGAACAAAGTCGTTTAAACTATTCCCCTTTTGAAAGTAAAAGTCTAAATGACATGGAATGTGAAAAAGATTTAACAGAAGTGATTCAAATCGTTTGCGCTAGAAAAAACAGTCCTTCATGAAATAAAGGTTACAAGAACACGAGGCAGAACTCTTTGCTTTTCCCTGTTATGAGTTAAAGCGGGGAGGGACGGTGGAGTTTCAGTAAGAAAAGTTGCTGCTCCAGACTGACTTGTGCTGCATCTCACATGCTGTACCCGAAGCCGGGCTGCGGCTGCCCGTACGGAGGGGCCGTGTAGCCGTAGCCGAAAGGTGCCTGCGGAGGAACTGCCACACTGGGGCCCGCTGTCAACATCAGCTGGGGCTGGCCTGCAACACACAACGGGCATCTTAATTCCTCCTCAACGCAGAAATCACTCAGCAAAATTCCTGAGACTTTTCAGTAAATATTTCTATGTTTCACCAGTAAGTCCCTGCTGGCCTGGAGTGGTTTCTTTGGAGCCAGAATGGGTATTTTCTCCACAAAACCTCAGGGCACAGCACAGTGAAAACACTACACTGTAAAGTATAGGGAAAAACTCTTACCAGAATAACCTGGATATAAAGAAAACACCCAAGCTAGATACAAAGCATATTGCACAGGATCCAAATAACCACTTGMTGGAAGTTTGGAATAGCACAGCTCCTGTACGCCTTTCCTTAAGGAACCAGGACAACCATAAAACCTGCAGTCCACAGCATCACAGTGGCACTTTTACCTAGTATTTTGGAACACATTCCTTAAGACTTGATTTCATGTGAAGAATCTTCCAATTTCCCAGGACTTTCTTGAGAAAAAACAAGATCAGGGAAGGATTTTTTTAAAAGTGAAGTTTTAACACATAAACAAAAGGATTACCATAAACAATAGGTTGTGTTTCTGTAGCTTGCTCCTCTTCCTTTCTCAAAGACTCTGATGCATCCAGTTTATCCACCTGGAATTGAGACCAACAATTAAAAAATCTCCTCTAAACCAGCTRCTTATTCGTGGCAGAGAAGTGGAAAAGCCTTAGTGGTATGTTAACACCCATCAAGAGAAGGAGACCATTTACAAGTTAAGATCAATTCAAGTAGCAATGTTGGTACTGGTGCAGTCAAGTTTGTCTGTTTCCTGAAAAAAACCCTCATTGAGGGATTTTTSACTACTTTGAAAGCTGACTCCAGGCTGAAGCTTTGTACAAAAGGCTCTGTACTGGACTGGAGCTGGACAGCCTTTGGCCACAGACTCAGATTTGAGCTCAGTCTCAATTGGAGACCTCTGGCWTTGGAACAATTGCCAAGATAACGTCCAGACCTGGAGAAGTTTCCTGGGAGGTGACATTGAGGCAAAGTAATCTGGTTTGTATTTGGATAGAGCAGACTGCAATAGCATCCGACATGTCACTTGAGCCTCAAGATTTCACTTTCCAAACCCATTCACTCATGCAATTTAAGTTCAAATGCAGAGAATGCATGTGTATAAGACTTGCTTTTTCCACTCCAGAACTGTGTGGCAGTCAGCCTAAACCCACAGATACTCCAATTCTTCCAGCTTTACACACAGTCACAGACAAGCCTGGTCAGCTTCACTGCTGCACTGCGAGTGCAATGGTGCTGTTTGCCCACCCCTACARAAAGGCAAGAGGAAAAACTTCTGTACTGAAATACTGCTCATTACTAAGACAGATCCAAGGGAACTCAGCATTACTACAGTCTAAGGCAGGCCCTGAAACTAAAACCACAACATGAGATATTGGTATTTTACCTGGGAGGTAAGATTTAGAACAAAGTCAGWGATAATCATGCCAATTACTTTGAAAGACAATAAGACAACTCACAAGATTCATGTTTCATTTCATTCGTGTCCTTAATAAAGGACTTTGAAGGTTTCCTGCACTTAGACAGGCTCAGTGTTATTCATTCAACTACAACATCCACAAATGAATTTTCAGCTGAACTGTGCTACACGAGCAAACATCTGCTGGCAGCTCCGAGAGCTGTGAGCTCTTCCTTTCAGCTGTGAGTTAGTTATGTGTGTTCCAGAAACCTGTTCCTGTGTAACCTCAAGCTGAGGCACAACTCCGGGGAGTGGCAGAAGTCCTGAGCTCGAGTTCCCTCATTGACTGGGCTTCCATGGCCAGCCCGGTGGTTGCCTCCCACGGTGTCTGGCTTGCTGCTGCCAAGGCGCACGGGATCGTATCCAATGCTCCAAGACTCATTTCCAGACACCGTGCTGGGAACTGCACTGTTTTTCACTCAAAACAGCAACACACTGAACACAGAAGCACAAGTTAAAGATGCAAACCCAAGGAGAATGTGCAGAGTTTGCTATTAAGCAGAGGCATTTGGCTTACTCACACTTGGAAAGCCTCCAGCCCAGGACATTCAAGGCATTTTGGACCCAGTTTTGATGCCTCCCCTCAGAGCTGAACAAATATCGACAAGAACAAGCACAAGTGTGAACCCAGCCTGCGATGGTTCTTACACCACTCGCTCGAGCATCACCAGCTTCAGGGCCCTACACACTTGGAGCAAGATTGATTTAAAGGCTTTTCCACRGGGACTGCAATAAGCTGCAGAGGAAAAGTAACATGCATTCAATGTTATCGTGTTATGTGTGCATGAAAAAGAGGCAAAAGTACTGAAGCACGAGTGAGGTCTGAAGATGACTGCCATACAGGCTCCCCCCAAAAAACCACACGCAGCCCACAGCAATGCCTCGGAGCTTAAGGAGTAGTGGGATGTAATTGCAATGACTGCTACACATGCGTCGTTTATGCAAACACTGCAGTTCAATTACCTTTTTTCACACACACGCTCTCCTACTTTCCTTACTAGCTGCTGAAGGACCTTACACTACGTGTCTTAGGTTAGCCTTGAGTTCCAGTGGTGTCTTTACAACCAGCAGTTTTTRCATTTAGTCCATCTTCAAAGCTGTTTTGTCACTTTGCTTTGCCCTCTGCTGAACCACATTAATGGAAAACTCATGCTAGGGCTGACCCCTGGGCTAAGGAGGA